AACACTTACTGGTCAAAAAAGGTAATTTTAATAGCAAAATCTACTGGAGTATAGGGTAGACCTGATAATATGCTTAACCAACACTTCTGCTTGCCAAATTCTCAACCCTTAAGACCATGAAAGTTGTCAGCTAAATACTGAAGACTTTCTATTTTGGAATTTCTCCTGTGGAATATTCTGTCCCTTGCTGGGGAAGCTTCAGATATTCTCAGCCCTGAGGAAGCACACACAGGTCAGGCCCATTGCTCTTGCACCACTCCCAGGTAGTCTGGCTCTGGATAAGCCAGGCTCAAGCAAACCTTGAGAGTCACCAGGACAGAGTTTTGCCTTCCCCAGCCTTGGGTAAGCCAGCAAAGGGAATGGGAATGCTCATGGCAGGGCCAGCCAGGCTCAGATCACCCTGTTATTTCACCTGAATGACAGCACAGTCCATAACTACTGGGATCTGATTTCCAGAATGATCCACATCTAGGGGTGAAAAGCACAAGGGAACCGCAGATTTCGCTGTAACAACATCCTTTGTCTTGAGAAAAACTCTTTTTTCCCCCTCTATTGTACATCAGTGAGAATTGTTAATGGGTTCTTATTCTATCAGACCTGCTAGTTTTTAAGTAAAGCAGTGGCTGCCCACTCTATAAAATATGAGCACAGGCAGTAAGAACATCGAAGGCCCATTGCTGGCTGGCCAATTTCCACGTATCCTAATATGGTTAAGAAAATGACTGGAGCCCAGAGCAGAGTGCCAAATTTAACAACTCTGCCACAGAGCCCTCTGCTCAGGCTCACTGTACCTTCACTAGCAGGGCAGCTGCTGCCTGTGGATGTGAACTGGACCATAATTGTGCTCTGCAGAGCCTCTTGCTGTCCCTGCCCTGCCAGCGAAGGTTGGGGCTCGCTGCCATACAAGGCTTTCAGGGACAGCAGCTCATTGGAGTGTTTCCCTTCTTGGGCTAAATATATTGAGGAAATCCTGGGTATCCCGAGGATATAAAAGAATATGCACTGCACGAGGCACTCTGGGTTTGTGTAAAAAGCAAGATTTTCAAGGGCTCCAATAAAAAAAACCCACTTTTTCTACTGCTAATGTACGTATGAGAGGATTTACTCTTATCAAACCTATACAAAGGGCAGGTATCTTCCTCTCTGTTTTGCTACTACTGCTATTTATGAAACTTGGCCAGCTGCAGGCTGCTTACCTGCCCCTGAGCCCACTGCAAAATGAACCTTGCCCACTTGTGTTACGCATTTGCATTTCAGTTCTTCCAAATTTCACTGGGCAGCAAGTGGTTTAGGATTTCTGAAAGGGCTGACAAAGTAAATGAATGACATTATTGAGGTCGGTCTTCAAGTCACACTTCAGCCTTCCCACTTAACTCTCCTTTGCAGTGCCACCAAAATCATTGCACAGCCTGATAACAGAGATTTGTTGACAGAAGAAAAGGGGATTATTGAGTTTCTATCAGTGAAACAACTCACTTCAGGCATTAAAAGAACAATGCTACCTTGATTATGCAAAAGGCTTAGCTGGCCTCTCCCAGATCATTTCCTATGAGATCATATGCAGACTTGGAAACAGAAGGGACTGGTTTCAGGAAGTTTGGAAGCCTTTTATGGATTATATTAACAAGGCACAGGCTGTTCCCTAAAACTGATTGTACATCAAATTCCACTGCAGCCACATGCCCTTGGCTGGAATGCTTTAGCAAAAATGATAGTACCAACAGCCACCAAAAAAAAAAGCAGCAATTCTGTCATTTAATCTCTGTGGGTTTTGTTTTGGTGTGTGTTAGTTTGTTTTTGTTGGTTCAGCTGGTTTTTCTTTTTTTTTTTTTTTTGTAATTAATTTTAATTTTTTTGGGTACAGATAGCATACAAAAGGTTACAGTGTCTCTTCAGTTCTCAAAATTTTTAAGTATCCTACAGAGTCTACAGAGTCCAGCTATAACTTTTTAAAGAGTTAAATACCTGTCTTACATCAATAGAAATAAATGTTCAACTGCAAGATTCTGGAATGATACCTAATAGCTGTTAGTAGCCAGTTTTACTTTTTCTTCTCTGGTACCTACACAAAAGCACATCAATGTCTCAAAAACACTTTTTCCTGCTATTTGAGGTCTCAGCTACTACCAAACATTTATTATTTAGTATTTACCAGCAAACATTTCCCAGTCAGTTCAGTTACTGTACATTTACTCTTGATACAGAAAATCAAAAAGCAAATGAGAATCTGCATTCCTCCTCCAAGAAATAACGCTGTACATTTATTTTGCAGAATTTTGCAGCTAGGCATTATTTTCCTGGGGATGCAGATGGGTGGTGCAGGTGTCTGGAATACACCAGGGCTGTCCAGTGGTGCAGCAGTCTTGTGAGCCTGTAAAGACACCTCAAATGCTTTGTTTCTGTTTGCAAGTGTCACAGCACCTAGGGAGGATCTGGCCTTCAGGCTCCTCAGCAAGGCTTTTGTCTCACTTGGGTTTCATGTTTACTCTTTGGTGATGCATAAATTGCATTCTGAACTTTACAAGACCTACACTGTGACAGACTGGATTTCACTGTGGCAGGCAAACTAACCTGTTCGTGGAATTAGATAACACTCACCCATTTATTAGCAATGACACCAGCAGATTTAGCTTTCAGTGGAAAGTAACAACATTTTCAAACAGCTTCTCCCCAAGAAAAGTTATAATCTTCCCTCCTATTTACAGATGGGGGAAGAGAGGTGTGGATAAATGAAATGCAGCTCCCTGTCCAAGCCCAGCTGGTCAAGAGCACCAGGTAAGTTCTTTCCCCATGGGGTTGCACTTTCCCCTGCCACGGCTGGAGAACCAAAACATTTACCATGAACATTCCCCCCAGCATTAAACTGCCATCCCTTACTGGAAATAAGATATATTTTGGTTCCTGTTGGGACTGGAGAGAAATAAGAGAGGAGTGAAAACCTCAAATTTATATAATTATTTGCTATCTGTTTAATAATGGTGTTCTCTCTGCCAAAGAAGATGCAACAATTAAAAGACAACCACTGCCTTTGCTTAGTTTGGGGAATAACTATCCCTGATACAATCTCCCAGGAATCCACCCTCACAGCCTTGCCCATCACTATTTATAACTGAGTAAATATTAAAGGATTCACATCTTTTGCCCTGAAAAAACAAGACCTTTGGCCTTAAAGTTTTTTTGGAAAGTCTTTCAGAGAAGGCTGCTGCTCTGCAGCAATGTTTCCTTCCATTAAAATTTCCTCTTAAAATATATGGCCCAAAGGAGCAGCACTAGACCTCAAATATACCACAAATATGGACAAGGTTGCCTGCAGGCATTTGGAGGCTGGGAATTTGCCCAAAACATTATCCTTCAAGAATTAACCAACCCTCTGTCAGCACAGTTAACAGCCCCAAAAAACACCAATTTACTTTGACATGCCTTTGTCAGGGCAGCTCACTAATTGAATATTGCCCTGTTTATCACTGTTTAAGGCTTAATTATTCCCTAGGACTGAAACTGGAGCCTTTATAGATCCATGTGCAAATAAAAAAAGAAGAGTTTGGGAGCCAATATTGCCAAGCAAATTCAGTTTTAGGTTTCTATCCTCCTGGCTTCATCCTGGCTCACCCTGCCTCTTCTTTCCCTCATCTCCTGACACAATCTGTGATAACCAGGGACCAGAAGAGCAGGCAGGGTACAGCTGACCACATGAACTCTGCTCAGGACTTTGCTCTGCTTGGCCACTTGAACCTGCCTGTGAACACCAGAAATGAGAAAAAAGGTGATGAGGAAACAGAGCTGAGAGACACAAACTCACTAAAAGTGAATGCAAGAGCCACCAGCAGTACCACATGTGTGGCCATAACTTCCTGGGATGTTTACAAACCTTCCCCTCACAGGAAAAGCTCAGGTCATGCAAGACACAGCCCCTGATAGCGACAGCCACCCCAGAGTGGTGCTCAACAAGCAGAGAAACCCTTCAAGGCAAGTCCTTTCCTCACCTCCCCATCAAGGTTGGCTGCTTCACTTTACATTTTGCATCCTTTTTGTTTCCCTTAGCTTTCACCAAGACTAAAACTCTGCATTTGTGTTACTATTTTGTATAAATCTATAAAGTCCATCCTTTCAAATCAGTGAATTTGCTGCACATGACATCATAACCTCCACCTGTGCAGCCAGAATTCTGGAGTTTCCTCACTCACAGCAATTTGGTCTAAACAGCAATTATAAAAAAAGTGCAGCCTGGGAACATTTATTATTATTATTATTACCATCATTGCTTAGCAAGGCTCCTATCAAGTGCTGAAGCAACAATCTTTTGAAAGGCAAATTTCCTCCCACCTGGCAAGCAGAATTTTATTTTTACGTGTCCCTATCAAACTAAAACCAGAACACCTGGGGGAATGGAGAGTCATTGACTTCACTGGCACACTCAGCAACATTATTATCTTAATGACACATAATGGTCTCCATATTCATAACTTTCACCCAAGGAAAGCCTGGAGAGGCTGTTGAGCTGACCTCATTCCCTCAGATGACCACGTGTAGGGTTAATGACACTGACACAGGAGTTAGACCTTCCCAAGGGAAAAAAACCCTTTTCCCATTCAGGTCACTTCCAGGAACCAGGAGGTGAATTTGCAGCCACAACATGGAAAAATTTCTCAGTGTTTTAGGGAGCTAAATTACCATGCACATACTTACTTATAATCCTTAGTGTGCAAAACACTGGGGGAAAAAAAAAAAACGAGGAAGGATCGGGGTGGAAAATTCCCAAATATACAAGTAATTCCTGGCAGTCAGTTTGATCAAGGACTACCACAAAGTGTCTTCTAAATCAGACTGATCACTAACCCAAAACAACCTCTTTCCATACCAGACTTGGAGTTTCAAAGGAAAATAAGCTAACACCAAAGCGCAGCTGGTGATAGAAATTGTCTCAACTGAACAAAATACAGCTCCAGGTAAAACAAAAAAGGCATGAGAAGCATGAAAAAAGACACATGTGTGTATCTCACCAGATGTGATGCCCCTGAGCCTGGAAGATGCTGCCTCTTCAGCTCCCAAGGGATTCTTTGAGTATCCCAATGGTTATCACAGGCACTGGAAAGACAGGAGTGTTTACGTCAGGGATTGAAGAAGGCACCAAAGGCAGAAAAGTTTTACAGTTCAGATGACCTAGAAAGCAAAACAGATCTTGATCCTTGCTGCAGTTGCTGGATACAATTGCACCACTGGCTAAGCTGATTTGCTGCTCCTTTTCTTTTTCCAGTGGCTCCTGTGTGAGGAAGAAACTCCCAAGCAGGAAAAGGCAGACTACTCCATCCATCCCAACTCCCACCAAGGGAAAAGAGCAGCTTCCACTTGCAAGGAAAACTGCTCCATTCACCTGATCCTGCTGCCAGGACTGTAACCCAACCAACCACAGCGTAATGCAACCCTGAGAACATCCTGGGAAGCATCAGCCACAGAACTGAGGATTTTAATATCCAAACTGCACTGATTAATATGGAACCAAACCTGATTATGCCCCCATTAATCACTTCAGGGAAGAAAAAAAAAACTAAAAAAAACCTGAGGGAATTCCCTATTTCTTTTGGCTGTAGACCAGCACAGTTTCTTGACTGCTGGCTGCCTTCAGTCAAAGATGCAAAACCCTTTGGCTATTTGTGCAGAGCTGCATTGCCATGGGTTTCAGTGAGGGGTTGTTTGTCTGCCTGTTCATGTGCTTTGACTGCAACAGTGGCAGAACAGCCACCTTCAAGCTGGGATAAATGATAATTTAGCATGTGGTGAGAAAAATCTGCCTCTGAGCCATGCCTCAAGGGGAGAACTGGAGGGAGTTCTTGGGAGGATAAACTCAGATCTCAAATTTGGAGTAAACCAAGCCAGCTGGGAAAGCTGCTCAGGGCCTCTGGTGACTCCCATCCACTTCCATGTACAGAGGCAGTAAAAAAGACAAAACTTTCAAATGGTCATATATTCAGAAGGCTGGAATTACAAGGTGTGGAGAAATTTTCTTTATCTGTTAAACCAGGTGAAGAAAGATACCAAAAGCAAGCTGGCTTCACAAACAGCTTTTAATTAGACAAGGAGTTTACCTTCCTACATAATCAATGCAATCAGCAGGTGGGCTTAAGAGTATTCATTAGACTCATTATCTTAAGCAAGAGATTCGACTAAGCCCTGAAAAAATACATCATGCTTTTGCAAGTGACAGTGCAATTTTGCACCATTTCTTCTAAGTCCATAAGCAGTGTCAGTAATTTAGTGTCAGGGGCAGCATTTGCTTATCTTAGAGAATTTTGAGGAGTTTGTTTCAATTTTATACTCCTGGCCAAAGGGGGTTTTTGAAGGTAGCAGGTGATGAAATGAAGAGGGAGTCAAAGTCTGCTCCACACGTGCTGCACCATGGCTAAACACAACTGGTACCCTGTTGTTCTACAAAAACAACAAACACCTTTGCTGCCCCGAGAGCTGCCAAGGCAGAAAATCACAGCTGTGACCAGCTAAGATGGCAATTCCTCCAGGAAACTCCGTTCTGAACCTTCCCAAGGCTGTATCACAGCAAATACTGAAGAATCCAGGTTTTCCTGAGTTTGCCAAACCCAGCAGACCTGGTGAAAGGAATTCAGGTTCTCTTTGTGCAATGCATAAATCCAGGTCACAGGACTATCTCAGCCTTCATAAAATTCCCATTAAAGTCAATTGCAGTTACGTGTTCTAATCCAGAGGAAATGCAGATCTCTCCTTCCACCAACAAAATGCCAAACTACTCCAATCACTAACAAAATCCAGGGACTGATGTGCCATTCAGGAGTCACCTAGCTACATGAAGTGATCCAGGTCTTTCAGGTAGAAACTCTGCTTTAACTAAAAACACCATTTACATACAGAGAAGAAAATATAAATTCGAAGGTGCAATATAGTTCAGTTAAACACCTTCAAGTTGTGTAACTCCCTGACTGCTGAGATGTTCTGCAGACAAAGCTCTGAAGGTGGACATCAGTCTTAATCAGAAGAACATCTTGTTTTCTTTCATTCTTAGCCCCCTGTGAGGCTTTAACACCAAGCTGTGAGTGCTCTCATCTCAGGGTACTTAAGTGTTCTCCTCCCCAACCAAACAAGATTACTCACCTTCTTTAAGTTAGGCACACTTTTGTTGAGGCAGAGCCAAAACATACACACAGGCACATATTCCTGACCAAGGACATGTTTTTCTTTCATGGGCTGTTTTTACTCTGTAGTCCTAAGCACAGCACTAAAAACAACTTTTTTAAAAACTAATTCATTTTGCCAAATATCTTCAAGAATTCCTTATTGAAGCAAAACTCACAAGTGTATTTCAGACCTTTTCCAACGCCATGATTCTATGGTCTATCAAGTGAAATACCATGAATGAGCAAATGCTGACAATTAGACCTGACGTGAACCAGATTAATTTTTTAATCCACTTGCTGATATACTTTTATACAGTTTCATACCACATAGCCTGCAAAATATCAAAGTCAAGGGGCACCAATAACTAAAAAGCTTCTAAATAATTAATAAATTTAATTATAATTTATTATAAATAATTATACATCATATATGCTGAAATATAATTAATAAAATTAATCTATTTGGTTCATACTCAAGAAATCTCTGGATGGCACACACTAAGGAAAGCTGAGTGCAATTATCTTGCACTTGGTTCTTAAAAGGAACACTAAGTGCAACACAAATGAATTTACCTTATTCTCCACCTCATTATTTCTTCAATCTCCTTCAACAGATAATCTCATCACTATATTTACTTACATACTGATTAACTAATTACCAGGTTGGAGAAACTGAGGTGTGAATACCAAACCCAAACAGGTGTGGAAATACAAAGTTTCTCTTCAAGGAGTCAGAGCTGTCTTTCATGACTTTATAACTAGAGATGGTTACTTCTAAACAGAGCAGTAGACCATTAAACATTTTATGAGCCTACTAAAATCCTGGGTTTTCCATCATTCTTCTCCAGTGTGAAATTCTGTGCTCTGTAGGAAGGGGAAACAATCATTCCAGGGAATGTTTCTCGCAGAGGGCAATCCTCATGGCCCTGTTCCATGGGGTTAAATTTTGGGAACACTTAGATGGTAAAGCCTACATTAGCAAGCAAAAACAACAGCACTGAGGGCTACCTATTTCCAATCTAGTGGAAAAAGCTTGATCCTCTTTTCCATAACCTGGACAAAGAAACAAAATGCCAAATTTAATTGCAACAACCTGGAAATGGCGAAGCCTGTGAAGTTGAGGACAATTCTGCCCATTTAAAACATTTAAAAACCTACAGCAATCAAACCTGGATTTCTGAACATCTTTGGAGCCCTGGCTCAGGACTATTAAAGCAGGAGGCATGAAAAGCAGCCAAAAAAACCCACTGAAACCATATCAGGTATGGCACTGATTCAGAGGAAAGCATTAGCTGAATTTCCCTGCTCCCTAAAAATTCTGGTTGCAGCAGTTCCCAGGGATTACTTGGCCTGGTTTTATTCAGTCCCTGGGATCAAAAGACATTACAAACCAAGTGGATCTGGGCTGCAGACATTTCAAAGGAGACAAATAGCAAAACAAAATCTTTTTCAGTGCAACCAGAACCATCATCTCCCATTTACAATCACCTGTAGAGACAACATGAGAACCACCACCCATCACAGACAGCAGCACCTCTCTGGTGTCCTTATAGCAAGCAACCCACAGCCCAAAAACACATTTGAAATGTTCTGTAGGGTCATCCTCAGGTTCAAATTCCCAACTCTTCCAGCTGACCAGGCTGAGGGCTGAAATTCGACAGGAAGCAGTCACAGCTGGCAGCTTACAAAATTCTCATGTGCTCTTGAAAATCTCCCTTAAGGTTTTTCATTTTTCATTTCTCATAGGCTTTATATATGGCTGGTTGAAGGGACATAGTTAAAATGAAAAAAAAAACCCAAAAACCAGTAATACCAGGGGTTTTTGCAAGATAGATTCTTTTACATTATCATTTTACCTATAAAAATAAGTCCCTGAGTTTCTCCTCTAAAGCACTTAAGAAAGACTTAAAGCAGTTTTGACTGCTACTTGAACTAGGGCAGCAATTGTTTTTTTTAAAGTACTTTTCCCTTCTGCTGAGAAAAAGCACAGTTAGGCACAAGCCTTGCTCAAAATACAGCTTTAGTCCCTTTCACGACTCAAACCTGAAGCTGAATTCCTGACAATATGTTTTAACAACAATTTGATGACAACCTAAGGTGTGATATTGTAACAAGGAAAAAAAGTAAAGCAGGTTGTGCTGTTTCCTTGTCAGCATCCAAAAACACAGCATTCACATGATTGCAGACAGAACACTCTTTTAAAGTCTGGGTTTAGACATTTTTGGTTACTACTTCCACCACCCACCTGCCTATGCTCCTGCCTCTAATCAATTATCAACAAAAACATTGGCATTTTATTTTTAAAAAATGGCTTTTTGAGGATCCTTTAATTCCTCCACATATTTACTCCAAAGAAGGACATGTCCTGTTTTACTTATTTTTTCCCTCAACATTTTTGCTTTGTGTTTTTTCTTTATAGGAGACTGAAACATGGAGATTCCCAAGTCCCACATTTTTTGTGGGACAACTGGCACTAAATTTATAGCCCAAAAGAAAACTCTGAAGAGACAGGGTTTGTGGGACAGAGGTTTTGTTTGGTTGGGTTTTTTCCTTCTTTCCTTAAAACTGCAAAGCTCTTTTGACAGGTTTGTCACCAGGCTCACAAAGGAAAAGAAGAATTTAAAGAATTAAAGATCTGAAGGATCCAGTCACACCATGCTGAACACTCACCTACACTCCAGTCCCTGAGGTTATTAATTCTAACTTTGGTACACACCACCAGACTCACTGAGAGCTTCCTTTAAACTACTGGCATATTATCTTATAAATGTATAATATAAATTATATTATAATTTATAATAAATAGTCTATAAACCACGTAATTTTTGCTTCACCATTCCTTTTCTTAACTTAGTTCTCTTCAGTTTCAATGTGTGTGTGGATGTAAGGAATAAAATACAGACCAGACAACATTTTGCCTGGACTGAGACTTTGCTACCAGGC